CCACCAGCGAGGTGACATTCCATGTCCCCAGGGCTAGTCTCCGTGTCTAGAGATTGGGTCGTGGGGGCCCTTGCCTTCAACTGCTGCCCGATCCACTGTGCACCAGCCCCTTATGAATCCTCCTGCAGGTGGTGGTGGGCCCACGGGAGGACATCCCCACATCGCTCATTCGGGCTAAGCCACCAGGTGCTCGCATTTTAGCCCCAACCCCAGGCCTGGCTCCAGGGTGTGGCCCCGGTTGTGCCATACCGGGCGACGTCATGTTCCTTGATTTAAATTTTTTTATAAGGGGTTCTTGAACCACTCTAAGTCTGCCCTTAATCTGATGATAGTAAACATGGTGCCCACTGAGGCAGACATGTTTACGCGTTCCACTCCCGAATGCCGGCTTTTTCTTTGTTTTCTTCTTTTTTGTGTGTTTTTTTTTTTACTTTTTTTGCAGTGCACAAATGTCATGCACTGCTAACATACAACAGACAGGCATTGCTGGATATCGCCAACTCACACAGCCACTGGTTTCATACCACCGGAGCTACAACTCATTGTCCGCTCCCGGAACAACAACGACAACCACCATCACCCTTAGGGAGCCCCCGGAGCACCAGGTACAAGCGAGCAGGCTGAAATCAGGAGAGCCAGAGATGGAGACGCAAGCAAGGCAAGCACGGGGGACTCCATGCTAGGCTAAAAGCTTGCGCTACTCGACCACCATTACCCAGCCTCTTCCTAGCTAACGTACAGTCTCTGGAAAACAAACTGGATGACCCAAGAGCGAGGATTACAGCACAACGGGAATGCTGTGCTCTAATTCTTACCGAGACTTGGCTTTCTGACAGTGTCCCAGATTCTGTGATTCAGCTACAAATACATTCTGTACATCGAGGTGACACTGCTGCTTTGGGGAAGGTAAAAGGAGGTGGTGTGTGTGTGTTTATCAATAACTCGTGGTGTGGAAATGTACGGACTGATTATTCGCCAGACGTAGAGTTTTTATTGCTGAAATGCTGGCCCTATTATCTAGCAAGAGAGCATAGTGCTGTGTTTCTGGCTGCTGTGTATGTTAGCCCAAGAGCTAATCCCTCTGTGGCTCTCAGCAAACTCTATGATGTCATCATCGTGCTAGAGACAGTGCACCCAGATTCTGTATTTATCGCTGCAGGTGACTTTAACCAGTGCAATTTACGGACTGTACTTCCCAAATATTACCAATATGTGAACATCCCCACCCGGGGCAAGAACACTCTGGATCATGTTTACAGTAACATACGTGGTGCATACAGGCCTGCACCCCACCCCCACCTTGGACACTCAGACTGAAACAAACAAACCCGGTCACCAAACAAATTAAACTCTGGACCCCAGAGGCTGAAGGCACCCTGCAGGACTGTTTCGCCCAGACAGACTGGGATGTGTTTAAAGCTGCAGCCACTTCGGAGGACTTCTCTGTCAGCATACAGGATTATGCTGAGTATGTGACCGGATACATTAGTACCTGTATTGACAACATTGTGCCCACCATACATGTCACGAGGTTCCCCAACCAGAAGGCCTGGATAAACAGTCAGGTATGCCACATGCTGTGTGCTCGCTCTCATGCGTTCAGATCAGGCGATGAGACGGAGTACAAAGCTGCGAAGTACAGACTGAGGAAAGCCATCACAGTGGCCAAGAGCCAGTACAGAGAGAAGCTGAATGGCTTCTATTCTACTGCTGACTCCGGATGGATGTGGCAAGGCCTGCAGCACTTTACAGACTACAGGACCACCACCAGCATCATCAGCTCCACAGACAGCTTGCTGGATGACCTCAACACCTTCTACACCCACTTTGAGACCTCCAGCCACAGCACAGAGAGGAGGCACACACACACCAAC